ACGACCTTGAGGTCTAGACAGATTGAGGTCACGACAGGAAGGCCAGACATCGGACATGCAACGGCCCACTACAGTCCCTAACGTTCGCTTCAATTTCAAAACGGGATGCACAGATTAACAATAGTGCAACTTTGGGTTTCATAGGTCCCAAGTCATTCATCTCTGACTTGGTAAGATGTAAACTTTAAAACTTCCTGCCCGTGAGGCAAATGAATTGGAATATTAACGTCCCCCTCCCCAGGTAATAAGACTGGTCTGTGCAAAATATCAGGAAGGGGTAAACAGTCGCGTAGCCTAACCCTAATGATGACCCTAACACTAACCCTAACGTTTGCATCAACCTAAATACTAATCGCACTCTCCCTAAAAATGAGCACAAGCTCGCCCTTCAGAAAGGGAGTTGCCCCATTCTCGTGTCTTGTTGTTATATTGCGTTCACCATCCCCGGAAGAGGAAGAAGAAGATGAGGGGGCAATTCCTGAGACCTAGTTATATTTAAGCTGAGGTTTCGAAAACATCCTCATTCTCATCGTCAGAGCGTGACGCCTACTCTTCCGCCGGCCTCGAATGAGTGCGTCTTACAACCAGCCTCGGGTTATAAGCGTGTCTGATGCACGCGCGTCGATCGATCGCATCGATCGATTGCTGGTGGTCGTTTGAATCGTTCTCGACCTCCAGTTCAGACACTTTGCAGCGACGAAAGTTGGAAGAAGGAGGAGGTTAAATCGTTGCAGGCCCTATTTCAATCCAACGGTTATCAAAAGTCTTTCATATGCAAGTGTCTTAAGAAGCCTTGTTTTAAGAGGCCGAAAGAAGACGATGCCATCCCCTATGTAAAGGACGTATCAGAAGCGACTGCAAGAATCCTGAAAGTATTCGGGATCGGCGTGGCTCATAAGCCGGAGTCACCCATCAGACAGCAGACTATGAGGCCCAGAGAGCCGCTACGATTGACAGAACAATCAGCAATGGTCTGCAGCATACCATGGCAAAACTGTGATGCAAGGTATATTGGTGAAATGGACAATTGCCTTGACACAAGGTTGCATGAGCATCAGCTCGCAATCAAGCGCAAGGATAAGCTTTTTATGCTCTATGACCACGTACAGCAGAAAAATCACACTCTAAAGCAAGGGTAGCAGGCTGAGCCAATGACAAGATAGCCAGATTACTGCTGGAAAATCTGTCCTCGAATGGCACACTTAACAGAGTCATATATCTTTATCCCGCCTACCAAGCACAAGACTCATTTCCACTCAGAATGCTTGGATGGTGAGAAAATCCAAGGTTACGCAGACTGCGATGAATAGAAGAACTTCTTCACTGCGATTGAGGCTGTCTAAAATCCTTCAGTCAAAGGTACAACTCATCTTCTTAGCGCTGACGTTAATATCCTACTCACTGAGAAGACAAAGATGCTGAAACGTTGGGCTCAGACCTTCCACAGCATACTCAACCATCCTTCCTTCACTTCCGAAGCCGCCATCGACCGTCTGCGGCAGTGGAAATCAACGCTGACCTCGACCTCCCACCCACACCTCAGGAAACCATCAAGCCTGGCACGATTTCGGAGACTATAGAAAGCCGAGAAAACGCCAAAGTAAAGAAAACGGTGAAGGTTTCCATGCTCCAAAAGCAAAATCCTTCAGAAACATTTGCAGAAATCGACCTCGTGGAAGAGTCGAAAGTCAACGAAAATGAAGATGACTCGGGAGTCGAACCCTGTACGTCGGGCCAACAGGCGAACAGCGTTGCCGCTAGACTACGAGACTACGTTGGGGGACCTGAACATTTTACTTACTCAAGTAACATTAATGGTTAAGTAGTCATCGACGAGGAACACCATAAGCAAGATCCTACAGAAACATCTGTAACTGTCTGCAAGCCTGACATTCTGCACCCAATTTCAGCCCATGAGGAACATTCCAAATTAAAAACCCCGCTAACGATA